CATCTAATACTTTCCTTCCTGAGGGTAAAAACAAAGGCTTAATGGTTTCAATCACTTGTGGCATTTTGCATTAATTTGGCATTGGAATTCTTTGAAATGGAATAAATGATACTTGCTGATGAAACAATTGACATATATATCTGAATCTAATAAGTATTATTGGGATTGTAACCTTTTGCCTTCCATTCTCAAAGTATTACTGTTCAGGAACTTCACAAATAACCATCTTACAATATAGGATTTAGGATCCATGCTGAGAAGGATGATAGTTATCTTTAATTATATTACTAATCACAATTTTGAACCTAAAAAAAATGAGAAAATTCCAATTATTCTCTTTAGAGAAATGAGTTAAATGCTGCACCTCAAGACCTTGAACCCTATGCTCCCCACACTTAGTTGAAATTCATAGGATGACACTACAAGCTTCATTAATTAATGTAATGGCAGGCTATATTTATTAGTACCGTGAATTGTGGAATTAAAGCAGCCTTTGTAATGGAGCCCTACATTGCTCAAATCTTAGCTGTTCTCATAAATATGCTTCTAAAATCTGACACCCTCCCTAGTCTCATGCTGGCTCAGTATTCTGAGAGTTGCAGCCCTAACATAGTTGGAATAACCCCAGGTTGGAAAAAATTGGTCTATACAGACTTTCTAGATTTCTGTTCTGTGCCCTCCAATGAATAACTTCTCTGTAGTTGCTGTGAACTCTTCATATTGCAAACCCTGCTTTTTCTATTTGTAACCTCTTGAACTTTTTTGGGTGTTGTTGTTGTTGTTCCTAGATTTTCCAGTATTTGAACCTGATCTGGCAAACTCCAGCTTGTATTTCTGTCTCATCTTGATGACTTAATTGCTTGTATTTGTCAGCCAAATTACTAAAAGATCTACAATCTGAGAAATGCAGCCATAAACAATGCCTTTGTATTAATTGAGACAGGTCTTCCAAGACACGGCTTTTGTTTTTTTGCTAAATATGCACAGAGATTTTAAAGAACTCAAATTAAGATTAAATTGCTGACTGGTAGGATAGCACAACTGCATCTGGCTATTGGCACGGTACAACAAGCCAACAGCTCCAGAAAACAGCATTTTGGGTGCAGAGAGTATGAAGTAACATCTTCCAAATCTACCAGTCATACATTATGCAGACCAGACTTCACTGGCTTATAGTTTCTGAGCAATGAATGGTTAAAAACAACAACTACTACTACTGGCTTAGTATTTGTACAGATTTAAGGTACTGGAAGAAGATTAGTGAACTAGGTTCACATCTACCCTTAGCCATAGAATTTCACTGGAAAGAGTTGGCACAGCTATAATCTCTCAGCCCAATGCATCGCACAGGATTGTTGTAGGAAGAAACTGGAGGAGTGTCATATATGTCCTTTTGCACCTGGAAAAAAGGCTGAATATAATAAATAATTTAAAAAGTTTAGCTATATAGCTAACAGTGATTGATTGATTGATTACATGCCATCAAGTCGTTTTCAATTCCTAGCAACCACATAGATTTTTCTCCATAATGATTTATACCTAATCTTCTCTTTCAGGTCTTCCAACAGTGACAGTAGCTGTAATAATAGCTGATGGTAGATGATGATGATGATGATGATGATGATGATGGTGGGTGGTCGCACAGTCAGCCAGATGTTTAGACTGGATTTGGCATTTTTATCCATCTATCAAGTCCTTCCAAGGACCTGGGAAAGGCAGATGTTGTTGTTTGATGGTGTTAAAGATATTGTTGCAGGGTGTAAGCTGTTTCAAGTAAAGCTGCCTTTTGCAATTGACCAATGGTGTTTTTGTCAATGCTGATGGTCTTCAAGTGGTGCTCCAGATGTTTTGGGATTGCATCTGTTGTATTACTATTGGTACGATCTTTGCGTTCTTTTGCCATAGTCGTTCTAGTTCTATTTGCAGGTCTTTATATTTTGTGATTTTCTCCAGTTCTTTCTCTTCTATTGTCCAAGTATTGCAAATGTCCACTATGCAGACTTTTTCGTCTTATCAACAATTGACTTAAGCTGTTTTATTGGATAATGTCAATGTAGTAAAAAGGGTTGGCAGTTGTAAAGAAATTCAAAATGAAGATTGACAATTCAGTACTATGAATATCTACTAAAATTAAAAGAAACATTTTAGCTCACAAGGCTAGAGCAGATAGAGATAGAATGCCATTTGGGTTTTCCTAATTCACACAAAATAAGTCAAAATGTAGAAATAGCTTCTTGCATGTTAGGAGGATGGCTATGAAAGCTAAGGAAAATTCCTTTGCGTAAGACTGACAGAGCCCCTAAATTGAGAACTGTTGGTGATCATGGAGATTGAGTTATTTTAGGTCCAGAGCTCCTAACACTCGGGTTTTGATCCATGTGCTATATTATTTTGCAGTGTAAAACCACCCGGACCCACCACCATGCAGCTGAAGTCCACTGTGAAGGTATAAAATTAAGAGCCATTTGTGCAAAGGTTTGAATAATATTTGTTTGCTTCAGAAATCAAACAGCTAAAAGCTAATTTGGCAATTGTAGAACAGCTGTGTTTTTCAAATAAAACAAAAACATCGTAAAAAAGTTTACATTCAGTTTACATCAGGTAATGACAACTGATTGTGTAGGTTGCTAAAATAAATAAGCAAAAGTACAGCTTTGTTGTATATTTTACTTTGAGGAGGAAATATGCCTCTGTTCTAATATTTAAATTATTTAATTTTTAATTTAAGATATGTTCATGGGTTAACCGGATTCAGTAGGAACCACACACATTTATACACATGATTCTTCATCATCATCATCATCATCATCATCATCTGCTCTGCTTCAATGTATTTCAGATCTCATGCACAGATATGAAATATCTATTCAGAGAAAAAAATAATCTAATTTAATCATATTCAAAGCATGAGAACTACCTCGGTTAGAGAAATGCAATTGCTCAAACAGATTTGCTTTAGCCCTCCAAGGTTCAAAATGACTTAAAACTTTGCACAGTAGCAGGACACATAACAGTCCAGTGGTAAACCACCTACTTTGCACACAGAGTCCCTGTCACTTCAAGTTAAAAGATCCCATAGGAGAATGTAGACAGCTGCTGTGAGATAGTAGGCTATAATGACAACAGTCTAAACTTGTATAGTCAGTTTCCTATATACCCTTTACTGAGTACCCTTCGAATGTATTCCTAGGGAAAAAGAAATGAAAGTAACACTTGAAGCTTTTTCAAAGCCACAGACTGCACTAATCTCTGGTTCAGAGGTTGTTATGTATTGAGGCTTTCTTGACCTGAAGTAATGAAATGGCACTCCTCCAAACAATGATAAAAATAAAAAGCAAACACAAAAATCAGCTCTTGTTCCTTTTTTGCCTGCCAAAAAGTTTTTGCCTGCCAGTGAGTTCTGTAATCACAAAAAGGATATCTTCCCATGCATTCTATATGCAAATTTATCTGCTGTTGGGCAAGCATCTTTTGGACATGAGATTTATCAATAGTGGGTGGGCTAAAAAGGAACAAGAGCCTCAAAATCTTTAAGAAACTACGAATACAAAACAACATTTTGCTTCTTCATCCAATGCCTATGTTTGTAGATACTTAAAACATGCACAGCATCAAATACTGCACTATTTGGCATTCAAATGTAGAACCACAAATATTGAGAGAAATATATAAGAAAGCACACAAAGTTATCAACATCCAAACTATAGCCATTAGGTGGAAAAAATGCAAAACTACCCAATATTATTCTTTAACAATTGTTTTTTCAAATTCTACCAGTTGTGTTTTCGCTTTTTAAGTTCTGTGTTGGATTCTCTTTTATTTTCCAAGTGAAACATCTTTGGTGAAGAGAAGTATCTAGAACTAATTTGAAATTTAGATGAGATCTTTTTTATTACGGCATTGCTTGTTTGGCTCCTAGAATATATTTTAATGATCAATAGACTATATCAAACACCTATTCCATCTGTAACAATTCATTCAGAGGTGTATGTGTGTTTTAACATGCAGAAGAGTGTTTTTATTTTTCCCCAGATTACAAATATTATTTAAATCCCTACATATACAGTAGCACATGTCTGAATTCCAAGCAAACTCTGTGATGGTACAGATTCTGCAACTGGATAATGATCTATAATTCAATTTTCTCAGAAGATATTTTCTGTAAAGATCAAAAGCCTAGGTATTAGCCAAAGTAACACTCTAGTTCATCTTTCACACAAGGGAAAACATTTCTTAATCTGTGTGGTATAGGATACTGAAAAACCATCACAGGCAAAGGTTTCCATTTACAGGATTTACATGGCATTTAATTGAGTTTCAGTTGAGGGACTAGACAAGAATTCTTCCTTGCAAGCTTTGGATATTAGCAGTGCAATGGATTCTCCATTCTTATACATGCACAGACATATACAATGTAATGTATTTTGAAACTCTCTGCAAAGGGCAAATAGCCACAAGAAAAATGTGAAAATGAAGATATGTGCAAATGAATTTTGCCCTGTGCATTGAGTAGCATGTACATCTTCCTCTATCTTTGACAGTAGGATCTTTAACAAGGCAGAGTTAAAGGAATCCCAGAAAGAGTTTATATATATGTGGACTTTTGGAATTTTTAAAAGTAACCTGGACTATCTCCTTTATAGTCTGATGAACTGAGTTTGCATATTCACATTTAAAAGATAACAGGGTTTTTCATGGAAGTAGAGAAGCGGTAACAAACATATGATGTCAGGTTGGTGTTCTTTTTATATGTGACTCATTAATAGTTGTATGCTGTGCTTTACCAGGTGCTATTACTCACATACTAGGAAAGGAACAACTATCTGGAGCAGTTGTGATACAACTATATCAAATTCAGACAATGCAGTTTTATCATCTGTAGTCAATAGGAAGTTATATTGTCAATTAATTCATAGATCCAAGATACGGTTGAATCAGTAGGATTGACTCAGAAATACACAGCATTGGTTTATACAAAAAGAGAAAGAAAACTAAGCACTCTAGTAAGGTAATGTTGAATCATCCCACTCCAACTGATCTTGCCTGGTCGCATTTTGTTTGCCTCCTTTATTCCCAATGGCTTCTTCCTCTTCTTCTTCTTCCTCTTCCTCCTCAGTCTCATCTGAGTCTGCACTTGTATCATCTTCATCTTCAACTTCTTCCTCATCACTTTCTTCTTCTCCACAACAAGGTTCTTCATATTTCTATATTATAAGGAAACATAAAATGGAGCTGCTGATAAGAAGAAAAAAAAACCACCTAAATTTTATTTATAAATCTTAAAAAGAAAATGAGAGTATGTGGCTGGTACATCTTTATTTTAAAAGGGAGATCAATTATTAAACAGTGAGCATATGTGCTTGAATAGAAATCACCCTTCAAATGTATAGTCATATTTGATAGAGCTAACTACCAACTGGGAAAATTATAGACTGACAGATTTACCATGAGATAAATGAAAGTGACCTCCATTTTAAGAAAGCTAAAGGATGAAACTAAGTAGCAAAAGCAGTTATAGCATTCAATTATATATGACCTGACATCTTTTCCATAGGATCTTATTAAATAATCAATCAGGCAAAACAACCCAACTTGAATGTCATCCACCTATACAGTACTTGATTAACCAAGCACTTCTACTCATTTTTTAAAATATACCTTTGATACAGAGATATTCATCAATAACATATTTTTAGATCCAGCATGTGAAAAAAGGCCAAGCTATAAGTACCAAAAGTGTAATACGACCTTTCTGAATGATTGAAAAAGGGCACTTTCATTAAAAAGTATGCAAAGTAATTGTTATGACACAAACATATTATTAATAATACTAGCTTTTGCATCCCTCTAAGTAAAGATTAAACCAAATATGCTTAAATCAAGTCTGGGGTAGTAATTCTGTGAAACAGGATCCTGAACATCCTACATACATACATACATACATACATACATACATACATACATATATATATATATATATAGTTATAACTTTAGATATAGTAGGTGGATGCTTCTTTCAGAACTTCTACCACACATGCCGACATCAGAAATAAGGTCAACTTAAAAGTAGGAAGGATGTTTTCCTTTTCACCCAATACATTTAGTGAATGTCAGGGGGAGGGGGAGGTGATTTCTAAAGAAGACTCTTGCATGTAAATGAAAAATAACACTGCAATCAAGGATGTAGGACAACATGGCTTTGCTACTTACTTCCATGGGGTTGACTGTGATAGTCAGAGCTGAATCATCCCAGTCCATTTCATTTTCTTTACTAGTTTCATGTTCCTTTGAAGTGTGATGGTAAGCTGACTGAATTCTGTATACCCCCAGAACTATGATGAAGACTAGGACACTGACACAGATTATTATGAAAATGGTAGCCGTACTTGGAAGTACTGAAATGAAATAAAATGGGACAATTTAACATATTCTTCCAGTACCACTTAGGTATATTTAGTGTTTTCTTAACTGCTGAAAGTAAATTAATGAAGCTGGTATATTTATTGTTATAATTATAACAATTTACAGCATTCATAATGTTACTGAATTTTAATTGCATATCTTGTTTTGTTGTTGAACTTGAAAGCAATCATTAAAAAAAAGGATAACAATACAATTCTCCAATACAGAGTTGAAGAAAAACAATAGAAGTTCCACCTGTAGGTGAGTGTCACCTTTAAACTGCCTTTTGTGCATAGAATCTCCTAATATAATCATATAATGCCAGCTGTTGAGTCTCATGCCCAGAAACCACCCTCACAGTCAGTGAATGGGAAATATGTCTCCCATTAGAATCACATATATAAAATAATCATCAGTGAGGAGGGAACCTTGATGCACAAAAATATTTATGCAAAAACATCCTCCTCAGATACTTACTTTGTATACATGGATACTAGGAAGTGTAACACATGTAAAATCTAGGGGGGAGGATAGTTGGTGCCACCGGGCTTTTTGCTCATGCCATGCTCACTGAGCAAGCAAAAAGGAAGAGGTAACATGAGGTTTGGTAAGACAGCCCATGATACATTTTCCTTTCTAAGTCATGGGTTTGTACTTGGTCAACCCAAAAGTTTGAGAAAGGAAGAAGAATAAATAAAAACTCTCTGGCAATGCCCTAAGAAGTAAAAGTAAAAATGAATGGGCATGAATCTATGATTGTCACCTGCAATGCCAGTGGCAAGTTTGTTTTCCTTCCAGAAAACCACCTGGCATATATTTGAAACAAATGCAAGGACATAACAACACTGAAGAAAAAGTTAAAGGACACCAGCAGCAAATGGCCGCATTTAAGCTGATAACAAAATACAAGGATTTATCGGTACAAAGGAAGGAGGTGTCACAACAGAAAGTGACATTGGGAACAACTCTGCATATGGACTGAAAAACAGAGGAGCAAGCTCAATGAATAAAAGATGTCAAAGATATTCGGTACTGCTGAAACAACAACAAAAAATAATTAGACTGTTGTAAATGAAAAATGGAGAATCCAGTGAAGTACATATGAGTCAGTCAGTTTAACAGATACCTGGGAAGATTCTAGGGCAGACCTTAAAGAGATTAGAGGGGCAAATTAGGGCTGTTCATATTTTACCATCTTCCCAGCTGCATGGTGGCATCCCCAAATGAGTCGCATGATCTCATTACTGAGATGTTGAATGATTTGCCCAGGCTGTTCCCTCAATTGCCTTACAAACCATTGGGCTTTCAGATGGCACTTGAGGGCAGTTTGGCTGGGTGTCAGAAATATGAAGGACATGAAGGTTCTAGACTGAATTGCTTCCAAGTGGTCTCTCCCTCTCTCTGTTAGCTGATATTGAGGAGCTCCAGGAAATGAAACAGCAGACGGTTCATTGCGATGCCGGTGAAATAGGAAGAGTGAATGTGACCAGATGCATATATAAGCTCACATATGAGCCTACACATAGCCATATTTGGATGAAGAGGTGAAAGAAGTGCATATCAGATTTACCAATGAAACAAGTTTGAGTGCTGGACTTGACTTCAAAACTACCTTGTTAGGATAGAGGGAATAGGCTGAAAGTAACTAAATCAAATTTAACAGAGTCAGAGTTCCTAGATTAATAGGTAAGATGAATGCCATGGACATAGTGTACCTTGAACTCAGCCAAGCATTCAACAAATTTCTAATGATAACCTCATTAATAGAAAGGTAAAATATGAGCTGTGTTATATATTGATTCATAATTAGCTGAATACCTGCAACACAAAAAGAACTCATAAATGGCTCCACTTCAGCTTGGAGAGTAGTATTGAGTGCAACAATAAAACAGCGAGCCCTGCATATCAGTGCCCAAACGGACATGGAGGAGCTGGCTAAAAATGGGTCATTAAAATGGTTAGCTAAGAATAAAATTACCTTTAATTCTGAAAAATAAATAAAATTACCTTTAATTCTGAAAAATAAATAAAATTACCTTTAATTCTGAAAAATAAATAAAATTACCTTTAATTCTGAAAAATACCTGTCGATGAGTCTAACCCAAAACCTAAGAAGGGCCTACACTAGAGCTAGATTTGAATTACTGGACTCCATGGTCAAATATGGTCGTTTCCATCACCTGCCTTACAATGAGAGGCTATGGGCATGTGGGGACCTAGCCATAGAAGACATTGCCCATGTTTTGTTTGACTTTATGACTCACTCAGGCATAATTATTTGTCCTCTCTGTTGCAAAGAACAGTCCACTGGGACTCCAAACACAGATTATCCTATTTTCTTTCGGGCACAAATATCTTTATTGTGAGTAGGACTGCCAGGTTTGTGGACAAGGCAGCTCAGTTGAGAGCCTGATATATAGAACAGATTGGAGTATCATGTAGGGGTGATCTTATATGAATCTGGATTTATGATATTAGTGATATATTATTATATTATTTTATAGTAGTATTATATTTAGTACTATCCCATTTTATTATTATAACATTTTATTGTATCATGGATTTTGTGTATTAGTTATTTTTTTACCTTTGCTGATGTTTCTTATTCTTGTTGATATGGTTGTAAGACTAATCAATAAAGCTGAAAGTTGAAAGTTGAGTGCAACAATACCTACTGGGCCCTGTTTATTTTATAGTAGTATTATATTTAGTACTATCCCATTTTATTATTATAACATTTTATTGTATCATGGATTTTGTGTATTAGTTATTTTTTTACCTTTGCTGATGTTTCTTATTCTTGTTGATATGGTTGTAAGACTAATCAATAAAGCTGAAAGTTGAAAGTTGAGTGCAACAATACCTACTGGGCCCTGTGCTATTCAAAAAGTTATTATGACCTGAATGAAAGGGTTGAAGGGATGATTATCAAATCTGCAGATCATACAAAACTAAAGCTAACAGCCAGGAAGATATTATTTTAAAAGATCTAGATAGGCTTGAACAGTGGGCCAAAATGAACTAAATGATGTTTAATAGCGTGAAATGTAAACTCCTGCATCTGAGGAGAAAAAATGAAAGGCACAAATATAGGTGCAAGAAAGAGACCTGGCTTGGTGGTAGTACATGTGAAAAGAATCTGGGTATTCTAGTGGACCACAGGCTGAAGATGAGCAAAGAGTGTGATGTAGCTGGCAAAAAGCAATGCTATTTTGGGATGTATGTTAGAACAATTTTTTTTAGCAAAAAAAGATGGTGGGCTCCCCTTCACTGGATGTACTACTATCTAAACAGAATGTAGGGTTAGGTCAATTTTTGTTAAATCCAGCAAAGCAATTCTTATGTACTTAATGCATATAATACCTGAGCCTTGAATATTATTTGTGCTTTCCTCTGGGTGATGGACAGACTGGAGAAATTGTGGCTGTATTATTATATGATTTGCATATTCCATGGAATTAGAGTTGGAATTATGTAGAATATTAACCTAGAAGAAAACAAAGACCAATATTACAAATATGAAAGTATTCATATAATATTAATCAGATTTTGTATAAAATTCAAGCAGAAAAATTTAATTCAGGCAGAAGTATTATCAGTTCACAATTTGTACTTGCTCTATATGACAGCACTTAATCTGGAGCTTGATGATTCCAGAATTACCAACTAAATCAGAGGAAATTGTTCTGAAAAAATACTCACATACAGTTTCAGGAGTGAAAAAGAACTTTGGGAGCAATTGATCTGGACCTAATCAATTGCATCAGGAACATAGCAAGCCAGTCAATTAATTCTGGACAGCATGTAAAACTGCTTTTGAAGACAGAGAGATGGTATAACCTGCCCAGCTCCTATATAAAGCAATCTATAGCACCCTATGAAGATTACCTTAGCTTCAGAGCTCAGCATAACCTTTCATTGATTTACACTGGACTTCTATACTAAGTATGAATTAGATCTTTATCATATCTTTCAATATGGCTAGCAAAAATTTAAAGCTAAAATCAAAAATAGGAACTGAAAGAGCTAAATTAAAATTAGTACTAAGATTAATACTTTATTTATTTATTTAAATTTGTTATGGCCACCCATTCCAGTAAACTCTGGGCAGCTTACAAAATCCAATATGTAGCTAAAAAGGTTAAAAACATAAGCAACACAGGACAGCCCAGACTCAAAACAACCACAGTAATAAATTAAAAATTTATTAATAATAATTTACTAATAAATTAATAATTAAATGGCTAGCAAAAAACAACAACAACCCTGTTTTCAGAATTTTGAAATACCAAGTAAATGGCAGCCAAACACAGTTGTGAGCATTGGAAGAAAAGTCCTTTTCTTACATGCCAAAAAGACAAGACTCTGAGACTGGACACATTTTCAAAAGGATTAATAGACAGATAGGTTTATAACAGGAAAGGTAATCCCTTAGGTAGTCAAGCCCTAATCTGATAGTTTCTTATTAGTTTGGTTATTTTATACCACTTCAGTGATCAATGCTTAGATTTATGTATGGACCAAAAAGATTCTTGTTTTATGTTGCTTTTGTTTAACAGCTTTAAGAGTGAAATTTTATATATCAGATACCTGCTATGTATAAGTTCTGCCTCTAAAGACTCATCCACTAACAATATTAACAGAAGGCTGGAATGGATAAGAAGTAGTGATGGTAGTACTACCAATAGGTTTATTTTTGATGCACTTGTAGCTTGTCATCAACAATTTGGTACAATGACTCACTATGTTGAAATCACAACTTACTTCTCTACTTATCTGTAGAAGGTGATAAGCAAAGAAGAGGAAAGATCCACTATCAAGACACATAGATGAAAAAGGGTGTGTCTCTCCATCTGTTGCTCTGGTTCAGATTGTTCATTAGAGACCACTTTCAAATTAGGGCTAATATCAGTAATGGAAATCACAGAAATTCCTTCACTTTCTTTAGAAGGAGAGACTACAGTGTGACTCTTTCTAAATACAATGAATTGGGGAGAAAGTGAGTATGATATTATAAGCCAGATCTGAAAGAAATTACTATGCAGTGCTCCTATTCAGCATGCACTGTTTCATTCTCCCCACAAAAGAGTTCTGTGCTTCTGAACATATTCAGTCTTCCCCAGGTTATTTTTATCCCCACTTCCATATTGCCTGTATTCTGCAACTTCAGGGGGTTTCTAAACCAGCTTATAGGTACAGATTATTACATAAGGTCTAACAGATAGTTGAACTCACCGTTAGTATGGGTTATATGGAAGAACAGCAATCTAGAAAGACAAGCAAGGAAAATGCTGGACGAGTCCTGTTTCATTACAAACTGGAAGTGCTATCAAAGCAAAATAGGAGGTCTCTAACTGTTAAGAATAGTTAATCATTTCCTTACACTGAGCCAAGCATAGATATTATAGGCAGATAGATGCAAAGGTGAATTACTCCAAAGAATTACAGTACACCAAAAACCATAATCAGGATTTCCCATAGAGGAATAAGAAAATCCACTACACTTTTAGTACCAACAAGGGAATGCTGTGAGCATTTAGTAAAACTGATTAAAATGTTAATTAACTCAAAGAAAGGATGGCAGGATGATCAAGAAGAAATTGGATGGATTATAAAAGGGCAGTTGCAATTTAGTTTTGTGTTCTAGTTGTTTTCTATTCCTTCTTCTGTTTGCTCTCATTCCTGCCCAATTTCAGTCACACCAAGGATAATGGCTGCAACAAGAGTTGCTACAGTCAGCAGTTATTACTCCTGATGTGAGAAGCTGCCTAGATTGCAAACAGGAAGTCAAGGGAAGTCTGGAAAGAGGCTTGACAGTCATAAGAGGCTTTGGTTTTAGAGTGGACTTGAATGATGAAAAGTCAATTATAGAGATAATGGTAGCCAGTCGTTTTAAAAACTGCAGGGTAACACAAGCTTTCATAAAAGCTGAGAATGGTAGTCATATCCTGTCAGTTTTCAACCATCTTCACTAGCTCACTTCTCTTTCCAACACTTACTGCAAATTGTGAAGCCCTTCCAGGCTTAGACTACAATATCTGAAGGAGTGTCTCTTCCCTTAAATTCCTGTCCAGGCTATGACAGTATCTTTACAGGCAGCACTCCAGGAATCTCATCTAGGTTCTTGGAAGCAGGCTTCTTCCGTAGCAGCCCCACTTCCAGTCCAGCTATGGAATATCCTGCCTGGAAAGGTCCTCCTTTGTTATAGGTGCTAAACAACCCTAATCCCAGACCATTTATATATGTTACATACTTTATACTGCTATATAACATTTTAAAAATGCTTATTTCTATAATACTTTTAGGACTTGTGGATTTTCCTGTTTTAGCTTCTGCAACTTCTAATTAATGAGCAATCTTAATTGACTTGTGCTGTTTTTGTATTGATTTACATGAATTTAAGTTAATTTCTATTTTTATTGTATCTTTTCCTCAAAACTATAGGGCAATGTATACACTTTTCAAAGAAAATACGGTTCACATGATCCAAGATATCTCAGATCCACCACGCATACACCAAAGTGTCCAAACAGTTCATGAAAAATGTACCTCTCAAAATCACAACAGTTTCCTCCTGTAACCAAAATGAGGAAGGACTGTATTGAGTTTTCAGCGGATTACAGGCAGCAGGAAAACTTCTGGATTCTCATTATTATACTCAGAAAGCCAAGAAGGAATTCTTTCCTCCCTTGCAGAAATTGTACAATATTCAAGTACATTATATTTGACATTCTTAAGTAAATAAGCATCTAACAATTATTGTAATAAATAAAAACAAAACAGCACTTTCTCCAAAGACATCCATTAGCACCAATGGGAGGTAAGAGATCTTCATAATTCTCACTTTTTGCTCATTTTGAAACTACAGTGGTACCTCGGGTTACGAACGCCTCTGTTAATGAACTTTTCGGGTTATGACCAGCTCTGGCTGCAAAAATTTACCTCGGTTTGCGAACTCCACCTCAGGGTACAAACCGGATACGCGGCCATTTTCCCTCCTGTGACACGGTCCGCGGCCATTTTTCCGCCCCTGACACATGGTCCTCAGCCATTTTCCGCCCCTGACACGTGGTCCGTGGCCATTTTTCCGCCCCTGACATGTGGCACATGCCCCTGACA